CTCGCTCTTCGTCCCTCGCTCCTCGCTCCTCGCTCTTCGGTCATCGCTCCTCGCTCCCCGCTCCCGACTCCCCGCTCCCCGCTCCTCATGCTCCTCATGCTCCTCATGCTCCTCATGTTCCTCCTCCTCCTCCTCGTCCTCCTCCTCCGCCGCCTTGTCCGCCTCCTCCTCCAACTCCCTATCCTCTCCTCCTCCTCCTCTCCTCCTTCTCCTCCCCCTCCTCCCCTCCGCTTCCTCCTCCTCCTCCTCCTCCTTCTCCTCCCCTTCCTCCTCCTCTCCTCCTCCTCCCTCCTCACCTCCTCCTCTCCCTCCCCCTCCTCCTCCCCCTCCTCCTCAGCATCCCCCTTCCTCCTCCTCCTCCTCGGTCCTCGGTCCTCGGTCCCCGCTCCTCGCTCCTCGCTCCTCGCTCATCATACTTCTCATATGTCTCCTCTTTCTCCGATCCTCCTCCTCCTCCCCTTCCTCATCCTCCTCCTCCTTCTCCTCCTGCGCCTCCTCCTCCTCCTCTTTCGCCTCTTCCTCCTCCTCGTCCTCCTCCTCGCTCCTCGCTCCTCGCTCCGCCTCCTCCTCCTCCTCATCCTCCTCCTCGCGCTTCATCGCTCCTTCTCGCTCCTTATCGCTCCTTCTCTCTCCGTATCGCTCCTGTTCGTTCAGCCTCGCTCCTTCTCTCTCCGTCTCGCTCCTGTTCGTTCCTCCTCGCTCCTAATCGCTCCGCCTCGCTCCATTTCGTTCCTCCTCGCTCCTCGCCCCGCCTCGCTCCTCCTCGCTCCGCCTCATCCTCATCCTCCTCCTCGCTCATCGCTCCGCCTCGTTCCTCTTCGCTCCTGCTCGCTTCTCCTCGCTTCGCCTCGTTCCTCCTCGTTCCTCCTCGCTCCGCCTCGCTCCGCCTCGCGCATTATCGCTCCCCCTCGGTCCTCCTCCTCCGCTTCCTTCTCCTCGTCCTCCTCATCATCCTCCCCACCCTCTTATTCGTAATAGTAACCGTAATCGCATTATTGTTAATAGTATTAGTAGTAGTGACATGAGTCGTGATATTCGTACTGGTATTCGTATGCATGGTATTCTTCGTACTAGTACTATGATTATTACTGCCAATGCTTGCAGTATGAATGGTAGCAATAGTATGGCTAGCATTCTTAATCGTATTAGTAGCCGTATCAGTCGCAGGCGTACTCTTCGTATTCCTAATAATAGTATTACTAGTGTTCGTGGCAATCCCATTCGTATTTCTAGTATTACCCAGCTGAGCAATAGTGTTGTGAACATGTCTGGTTGCTATGATCCCTCAGCATCCTCCTCCTTATCTTCGCCCTCTTCCCCCTCCGCCTCCTCCTCCTCATCATCTGCCTCCTCCGCCTCCTCCTCCTCCTCATCATTCTCCTCCTCCGCCTCCACCCTCTCCTCCTCCTCCCCCTTCTCCTCCCCATCCTCCTCCTCCCCCCTCCTCCTCCGCCTCCTACTCCTCCTCCTCCTCCTCCTCCTCCTCCTCCTCCTCCTCCTCCCCGTCGCTCCTCCTCGTCGCTCCGCATCCTCCTCCTCCTCCTCCTTCTCCTCCTCTTCCTCCTCATCCTCCACCTCCTCATGTGCATCACCATCACCATCATCATCACCATCATCAGCAGCATCATCAGCATCGTCAGCAGCAGCATCATCATCATCAGCATCATCATCATCATCATCATCATCATCAGCATCGTCATGGACAGCATCATCAGCAGCATCAGCATCGCCAGCATCATCATCATCATCAACAGCATCAGCAGCATCATCATACTCAACATACTCATCATCATCAACAGCATCGTCATCAACAACACCATCATCATTATCATCCGCATAATCAACATCATCATCAGCATCGTCGGCGTAGGCGTCATCATCATCATCATCATCATCAACATCAACAGCATCAACACCACCGTAATCATCATTATCATCATCAGCATCATCAACAATATCATCATCGCCATCGACAGCATACGTATCGTCATCAATACCATCAACACCATCATCATCGACAACATCATCATCCGCATCAGCATCCGCATCAGCTTCATCATCAGCATCATCATCATCACTAGCATCATCATCGTCATCACCAGCTGCAGCAACATCAGCAACATCAGACGTACCATCAACGTCATCAACATCATCAGCCTCATAATCATCATCAACTTCATCAGGAGCATCAGCATCGTCAACATCATAATCATCATCATCATCATCATCATCATCATCATCATCGTCATCGTCATCATCGTCATCATCATCATCATCGACATCAACATCATCATCATAATTACCACCATCCTCACCATCCGTTGCCATTGTTGGCTCAAGCTCCCGGGCCAACTTCCATCGGGCGGCTGGTGCGGTGTGTGATGGCGCGGGAGGCGACTCCCTCGCGGGAGGCCGCCGCTGGCGGCGATGTGTGCAGCCCGTGTGCGGCACGGCGGCAGAGGCGCCGAACTGGCCAGGCGTGGGCCCGTTGGTCTGGGGACGTGCTCGTCCACGACCTGCAGCGGTTAGCATCATCATTATGATCAGCATCAGCATCATCATCAACAGCATCAGCATCATCATCCGCATCAGCATCATCAGCGTCATCAGCAGCATCATCAGCAACATCATCGTCAGCAGCATCACCATCATCAGAATCGCCATCAGCATCATCATCAGCAGCATCATCATCAGCATCACCAGCGTCAGCCTCATCATTAGCGTCATCAGCATCGCCATCAGCATCATCATCAGCATAATCACCATCATCAGCTTCATCATCATCATCATCGTCATCATCATCATCATCATCATCAGGAGAAGCATCATCAGCCGCAACATCATCACCTGCATCATCAGTATCACCAGCAGCATCAACATCAGCATCAGCATCATCATCAGCATCATCGTCATCAGCATCATCGTCATCATCGTCGTCATCATCATTATAAGCATCAGCATTGTCAGCCTCATCAGCATCAGCAACATCATCACCATCAACATCACCATCATCATCACAGGTATCATCAGCGTATTCATCATCATCATCATCATCATCATCATCAACAACGTCATCATCATCAGCATCATTATCAATATCATCATCAGCTTCACCAGCATCATCAGCAGCAACATCCTGCTCCTCATCTTCATCAGCATTCGCATCATCGTCGTCGAACATCGTCATCATCAGCATAATCAGCATCGACAACATCATCATCATCATCATCATCAAAATCATCAGCAGCATCGTCATCATCAAAATCATCACCATCAACATCAGCATCGTCATCATCATTAGCATCATCACCCTCATCAGCAGCAGCATCAGCATGGCCATCAACATCAGCATCAACATCACAACCACCAGCGTCATCTTCATCATCCTCCTCACCATCATCGCCGTCATGATCATCAACATGATCATCAACAACAATAGCATCAGCAGCAGCATCATCGGCAGCATCAGCATCATCATCAGCATCATAATCATCATCAGCAGCATCATCATCAGTATCATCAGCATCAGCATCCTCATGATCATCCTAACATCATCTTCAACACCCTCATCATCAGCAGCATCATAATCAGCATCAGCATCGTCATCATCCTCAGCAGCAACATCAGCATCATCATCATTGTCATCAGCATCATCATAATCATCATCACCATCAGCATCAGCATCATCATGGTCATGTATATTCTCCTCCTCCTCCTCATCATCATCGTCATCAGCATCATCATCAGCAACATCATCATCAGCATCATCAGCGTCAGCATCATCATCAGCGTCATCAGCATCGCCACCATCATCATCACCACCAGCATAATCACCATCATCAGCTTCATCATCATCATCATCATCATCATCATCAGCTTCATCATCATCACCATCATCATCATCATCAGGAGAAGCATCATCAGCAGCAACAGCATCACCAGCATCATCAGTATCACCAGCAGCATCAACAGCAGCATCAGCACCATCATCAGCAGCATCATCAGCATCATCGTCATCAGCATCGTCGTCATCATTATCAGCATCAGCATTGTCAGCCTCATCAGCATCAGCAACATCATCACCATCAACATCACCATCATCATCACAGGTATCATCAGCGTAATCATCATCATCATCAACAACGTCATCATCATCAGCATCATTATCAATATCATCATCAGCTTCACCAGCATCATCAGCAACAACATCCTCCTCCTCATCATCATCAACATCCGCATCATCGTCGTCGAACATCGTCATCATCAGTATAATCAGCATCAGCAACACCATCATCATCATCATCATCATCAAAATCATCAGCATCATCATCATCATCAAAATCATCAGCATCATCATCATCATCATCGTCATCATCATCATCATAAGCATCATCATCATCATCATCATCATCATCATTAGCATCATCACCCTCATCAGCAGCAGCATCAGCGTGGCCATCAACATCAGCATCAGCATCACAACCACCAGCTTCATCTTCATCATCTTCCTCACCATCATCGCAGTCATGATCATCAACATGATCATCAACAACAACATCATCAGCAGCAGCATCATCGGCAGCATCATAATCATCATCAGCATCATAATCATCATCAGCAGCATCATCAGCATCAGCATCCTCATCATCCTCCTAGCATCATCTTCAACACCCTCATCATCAGCAGCATCATCAGCAGCATCATCAGCATCATCATCGTCATCATCCTCAGCATCATCATCATCATCAGCAGCATCATCATCAGCATCATCAGCATCAGCATCAGCATCAGCATCATCATGGTCATGTATGTTCTCCTCCTCCTCCTCGTCCTCTGCCTCCTCCTCATCTTCCTCACCCTCCTCCTCCTCCTCCCCCTCGCTCCTCGTCCTCCTCGTCTGGGATTCAGATGCGCCCAGGAAAGCCCAAGCCCCTCGATCAGATGCCTCACGGCTGCCGTGGAGGGGAGAGACCGCGGGAGGGCGCCGCCAACCCCAGGTCCAGTCGCGCTGGTGGATGTACATGTCGATGGCCTCCTTGGGCTTCTTGGCCTTGATGAACTCGTCCTCCAGGCGCGTCCACGATCGGGCAGTAGCCGACCGCGCAGGCGCTAACCCACGGCGCGATCGGGCCGATCCGAGCCCTAGCGACGCCCACGCCCAGCGGATCAGAAGAGTGGAAAGCGAAGCGCACGCCATTGCTTTGCCAGGTTGCTCAGTACGCCCTCTGATCATGAACGATGGCTCCTGGCTTCAGGCGAAGGGGCAAGCGTTCCGAAGATGACGATTAGAAAAGAACCTAGCTGGACACCGCCACATCCAGACCCGTGGGACACTCACGAGGTAAGGACGCCCTGACAAGATCACGGAGGAGGTCACTCCTGCCTCGAGGTGGGGGGGGGTCCGAGGGCAAGGCCCCAAACCACACCTGGACAATCCGATCCCGCATGGCCTGGCCTTGGCTCACCCTCACCCCTGCGAAATGACCGTGTGGCCCGCTCCAGCCCCGAATCCAAGCATGACCCGCGGGGGGGCGCTGCTGTGACGCCCGCTGGCCTCCGCATGCGCCGCATGCGGGAATGTATTGAAGCCAATCCCGCATGGCCTGGCCTTGGCTCACCCTCACCCCTGCGAAATGACCGAGCGGCCCGCTCCAGCCCCGAATCCAAAAACTGTGTCACCTGCCGAAGAGCGCTGCTCTTACGCCCGCCGGCCTCCGCCACCCTCCCGTCGGCTTCTGCTGTTGGGCCCGCCGTCGTTCTACTTTCCGCCGGCCTTCCGCGGGCTCCCGCCGAGCAAGAGGAAGTCAACCACGTCGATCCCCAGAAGGTGAGACCCCCTCTTTGCCATGGATCGGCCGTCGCTCTTTGCCATCGCTCGGCCGTCCATTGCCCGTGCATGCTTCGGTTTCGTGCGTTTTTGCTGCAAGATAGCCCAGGATGCTCCCCGATGGTCCCCATCGAAGAAACATACACACGTCCGAGCGATGCCAAGCCTCCTGAAACGTCGTATGTGTGGCCACATGAGCAGAGCCTTAGCACGCATGAAATGGGGACGGAAAAAATGAGGGCGGTGCCCAACAGCAAGCCTTGCCCAAAACCTACAGAAGCCACTGTTGGGCAGGCGGCCATCGTCCCAAACGGACAATGCCCACGGCAACACCGACAGCGAACCCTGTTTTAAACGGACGGGGAAGGCTGTCGGTCTCCGTTCCCGTTCTTATTGTCTTCATTGCGATCCTCCCAAGAGCTAATCGGAAAACCAACAGACCTGCCGAGCCGAAGAGTCGCTGGCATCATCCTCGGCCAGCTTGTACTGCTCGTCGTCCTCGAGCGAGAGCGCCTGCCCCCCAACATGGTGCCGTCCGATGCGGCTCACACTCGCCGACAGCAGATTCTCCGGGCTTACACGAAGGAAGTAGGAGGGGGCGACAAGTACGAAGAGCTCAAGTACAGCCAAAACCTGGCCACAAGAAAGCGGGTCAAGAACACGAGCCCTTTCGACGAAGGTCCACCCCAAGGAGATACTCCACACGAAGAGCATTCTACGGCGGAGAGTCCAAACACGAAGAACGTAAGGTATCCCTCCAAAGCTGGGATGATTTATTATTCTTGCGCAAATAGGAAGGGGAGACGGAGGAGAAGGAACGGGGAGAGAGGGGAAGGAAGGAAGAGCGCATCGCAGACTGCCCCACCGTGCCAGAGGAAGGCAAAGAAACAGCAAAACGAGGCGGAGAAGGTGTCGACCACGCCTGGCCAGGACTCGGTTGGATCCAATGCCTCTGCGCTTTCGACCGTCTAACCCCACTGGCCCTGTGGGCGGTCGCCGGCCGCACAGTGCATTCCCAGGGCTCCTGCCCCCAGTTAGCCCCATCTTCCTCCTCCTCTTCCTCCTCCTCCTCCTTCACCTCCACTCGTCTTTCTTATCCGCCACCGCGCCTGCAGCGGCTGGTGTGTGTGTGTGTGCGTGTGGTGTGAGTGGTGTGTGACGTGTGTGTGCGCGTGTGTGCGCGTGTGTGCGCGTGTGCGCGTGTGTGCGTGTGTGCGTGTGTGCGTGTGCGAGTGTGCGCGTGTGCGCGTGTGCGCGTGTGTGCGTGTGTGCGTGTGTGCGTGTGTGCGTGTGTGCGTGTGTGCGCGTGTGCGGGAGCGCGTGTGCGCGTGTGTGCGTGTGTGCGTGTGTGCGTGTGTGCGTGTGCGTGTGTGTGTGTGTATGCGGGTGTGTGAGCGTGCGGGTGTGTGAGTGTGTGGGTGTTTGTGTGGGTGCGTGTGTGTGGGTGTGTGTGTGTGGGTGTGGATGTGGGTGTGAGCGACTGTGTGTATGTGTGTGTGTCTGCGTGTGGCTGTGTGTGTCTGTGTGTGTTGTGTGCTGTGTGTTGTGTGTTGTGTGTTGTGTGGTGTGTGTTATGTGTTGCGTGTTGTGTGTTGTATGGTGTGTGTATGTTGTGTGCTGTGTGTTTTATGTTGTGTGTTGTGGTGTGCGCTGTGTGTTGTGTAGTGTGTGTTGTGAGTTGTGTCTTGTGGGTTGTGGGTTGTGTTTTGTTTGGTGTGCGTTGTGTTGCTTGTTGTGTGTTGTGGGTTATGTGTTGTGTGGTGTGTGTTGTGTGTTGTGTGCAGTGTGTTGTGTGTTGTATTATGTGCTGCGTGCTGTGTGTTGTGCGTTGTGTGTTGTGTGTTGTGTGCTGGGTGTTGTGTGTGACGTGTTGTGTGTTGTGTGGTGTGTGGTGTGTGTTGCGCGTTGTGCGTTGTGTGCTGTGTTGTGTAGGGTGTGGTGTGTGCTGTGTGCTGTGTGTTGTGTGTTGTGTGTTGTGTGTTGTGTACTGTGTGATCTGTGTTGTGTGTTGTGCGTTGTGCGTTGTGTGTTGCGTGTTGCGTGGTGTGTGTTGTGTGCCTGCGTGCGGCGTATTGTGCATTATGTGTTGTGTGTTGCGTGTGATGCGTAGTGCGGTGTGTGTTGTGTGGTGCGTGTTGTGTGGTGTGTGTTTTGTGTTGTGTTGTGTGCAGTGTGTTGTGTGCTGCGTGTGTGCTGTGTGCTGTGTGCTGTGTGTTGTGTGGTGTGTTGTGGCTTGTGTGCTGTGTGCTGTGTGTTGTGTGGTGTGTGGTGTGCGCGTGAGTGTAGGTTGTGTGTTGTGTGTTGTGTGGTGTGGCGCGTGTGTGTTGTGTGTAGCGTGTGTGCTGTGTGTTGTGTGCGTGTTATGCGTTGTGTTGTGTGTGGCATGTGTGTGTTGTGTGTGTGTGTCTGTGTGTGTCTCTGTGTGTCTGAGTGTGCCTGTGTGTCTGTGTGTATGTGTGTGCTGTGTGTGTCTGTATGTGTCTGTGTGTAAGTGTGTGTCGGTGTGTGTATGTGTGTCTGTGAGTGTGTGTCTGTGCGAGTGTGCGCGTGTGTGTGAGTGCGTGAGTGTGTGAGTGTGTGGATGGTTGTTGTGTTCTTTGTGTGTGTGTGTGGGGGGGGGAGGGGTGTGTGTGTGGGTGTGTGGGGTTGTGCGTGTGTGTGTGTGGGTGAGTGTGTGGGTGTGTGTGTGTGTGTGGGTGTGTGGGTGTGGGTGTGTGCGGGTGTGCGGGCGTGCGTGGGCGTCTGTGGGTGTGTGGGTGTGTGGGTGTGTGGGTGTGTGGGTGTGTGGGTGTGGGTGTTTGGGTGTGTGGGTGTGCGGATGTATGGGTGTGTGAGGTGTGTGGCAATGTGGGTGTGTGGGTGTGTACCGTAGGTATGTGTGGCTGTGTGGAAGTATGTGTGTGTATGTTTGGGTGGGTGTGAGGGTGTGTATGGGTGTGTGGTTGCGTGGTTGCGTGGGTGTGTGGGTGTGTGGATGTGACTGTGTGGGTGTGTGTGTGCGTGCGTGCGTGAGTGTGTGTGTGTGTGTGCGTGTGGGCGTGTGTGCGTGTGTGTGTGTGCGTGCGTGCGTGTGTGCGTGCGTGTCGGGTCCAAACTGTGGCCGCTAGCTTCGTATCTGGTGAAACCAGAATGAAGGCCGCTGGGGCATAGAACCCAAACATGCATCCAAGTGTTGGACCAAACCCATGCATTGCTTACCTTCCCAGCCAAACAAATGGCCCATGATCTGAGTTCGGGCGGGGGAGTCCAGCCACCCAAAGAACCCCCCAGAGAGCTCGCCAGCTCCCCCCTTCCCACGCAAGATGGCCGCATATGGCCTCCAAGACGGCCAATGTGGCCCCTGAGTCAGACAAGATGGCCCTACATGGCCTCCACGACTGTCCAAGATGGCCTCCAAGACGGCCACGATTGGCCCAAGACGGACCAAGAGGCCCCCAAGACGCCCCAAGAGGCCTCTAAGAGGACCCACTGGAGGCCCCGAAGATGCCAAAGTCCCTGACTTCCCTAATGTCTTCAGGCCGAGATTAACATTGGTGCCTTCGGTTCTCCGAACGTCACAGACGGTCCAAGAGGCCTCCAAAATGGTCCCAAGATGGCCCAAGAGGCCCAAGAGTGCCGAAAAGGCCAACAAGACTGCCCCAAGGGGGCACCAAGACGGTCCAGAGACCCCCACGGCAGAGCTAAAACGTACCAAGGAGGCCCCAAGACGGTCCAGATTGACTCCCGAGATGGCTTCCGAAGGTATCAGAAGGGCCAGTAGCACCCTAAGACGGCCCAAGAGACCCCGAGAGGCTCCCAAAAGGCCCCAACGGAGGTCTCCCCCCAGGCGGTCGCCCGAGCGCGGTGGCGGAATTGCCCAGCAGCGCAACTGGATATCAACAACTCCTTCTCGTCGCACCACCAGACATGTTGGTAGGGCAGTCTGGGTGGGTCTCATGAAACTCTCACCATTCACAATCCTAAAGCTGATATATCCCAACAAATTCATGGATGTATGGCGGGTGGTTTTCGAAATGTGGCCTTCCCCTTAGCGCCGCGGGTTCATCCGTCTTGAAAGCTTCCAAAAGTCATGCAGATGGAGGGCAGGCCGTTTTCAAAATGTGGCCCTCGAATCGGCGCCGCACACGTTCGTCTTATACGAGCTCCCAACCGCCACAAGGCTGCCGCTCGAGACTTCCTCAGGTTGTACCACCCGTAGTGTTGAATTAACCCGGCGCGACCCAAATTAGAGGAAAGGTTCCTTTTGCATGAGCGCATTGCTCAGCACTGCTCAGCGTTGCTTGGCATTGCTTAGCATTGCTTTGCGTTGTATTGACTGGCATTGCTGTGCACTGCTTGGCGTTGCTTGGCATTGGTTGCCTTATTGAGTATTGATAGGTGCCGCTTGGCATGTCGTAGCATTATTTGCATGTATTAGCACTGCGTTGCATTGCTTGGCGTTGCTCGGCATTACTCGGCATTGCTTTGCAATGCCAGGGAAGCGGAGGAACAGAACCGGGGAACCCGAGGAACCTAAGCAAAGAAAAAAAACAAGGAACCCCAGGAACCCGAGGAACAAGACCAGGGAACCGAGGAACCCACGCAAAGAACGACACCAGGGAGCCCGACGAACCCAAGCAAGGAGCGACACCAGGGAGCCCGAGAAACACAAGATCGGGGAACCTTAGGGCGTCAAAGAGAACAACCTGGAAACCCGAGGCCCGTGTAAGGAAACAAAACCGGGGAACCCTCGGCTACACGCAAGAGCGACCCTAGGCCAAAGTGACCTATGGTGCGCGGCTTAACGGGGGACGCGAGGCGACCAAACCCAGGCGCGCAAGCCGCTGCTACCGCTTCGCGTTCAGCGATCGGGGGAACCCATGGGGCCCGCACCAAAGGTCACTCCAGCGAAAGGTCACTCTTGAGTCTAGCCGAAACCTCCGAGGAATCCCCTCTGTCAGGAAGCAAGACCAGGGAACCCCAGAGGAGCACCTTTGCAAGGACGCAAGGCCAGGGAGCCCCGAGGAATGCCAGGGGCCGATTGCGCCCAGCACCCACCGGCGTTGCGTGGCTTTGCGTGGCAGCGCTCGGCATCGCTTGGAACTGATGGGCCTCGTTTGGCAATGCTTGGCACTGTGTTGCATGACTTGGCATTGATTCGAGTTGCTTGGCATTGCTTGGCATTGCTGTGCATTGCTTTGCAATGCTGGGGAACCCGAGGAACAACACTGGGGAACCCCAGGAACCCGAACAAAGAACAAGACTGGGAACACGAGGAGCCCTAGGAACAAGACCAGGGAACCCCAGAAACCAAAGCGAGTGACAGGACCGCGGAACCCAGGGAATCCAAGCAATGAGCGAGACCAGGGAACCCAAGGAACAAGACCAGAGAACCCGAGGAAGGACGGCAGAGAACACGACAGGGGAACCCGAGGAACAAGACCAGGGAACCGAAGGAAAGACGCCCAGGAACAAGACCAGGGAACCCGAGGCCCTTGTAAGGAAACAAGCCTGGGGAACCCCGAGGAACCCCT